CATGCGCGGGTGATAGTATGTGTGTAGCGCTGCTATAGGCTCTCGGGAACAAAGAATTTGATTAAACTCGGACACGATAATTTTGATGCGTTTGCGCGCACGGTTACCTCGATATTCGTTGAATAACGGTTTGCTGTATTGTAGCACCGATTAAACGGATACGCCACGAATTGTGGTTCCTCACGACGAGGATTTGAATATCGTATCCTCTATGAGGCCCGCAAAACTCCACTCAGTGGTCATCTCGGACGTTAGAAGACTTAAAGTCGGTGAGTTGCAACTATTGATGCTTCAAGCTGTACAAGTGGACGAGCACATAGGTGCGCACGTGTGAGACGTGCCAGAGGGTGAAACCCTCTTCGGATGAGGCATCGCCGCTGGCCAGTTTTCCAGTACCCTCCGGGTGTTGGCAGTCCATGAGTATGAACGTTGTGTTTGACCTGCCGAAGGACTCGGCAGGCAACACGGGTGTGGTGATCTTTGTGGACCATTTGGACAAGATGGCTCAACTTGCGGCAGTGCCGGACACCATCGATGGTGTCGGTAAAGCGACGCTGTTTGTCGATCGCGTCTTTCGACAGCATGGGCTCCTGGACTCGATTGTCTCTGATAGAGACCCGCACTTCTCTTGGAAGTTTTGGTCTAGGATCGTCAAGGTGCTGGGCACCAATTTGACTATGACAATAGCGGACTATCCGCAGACCGATGGTCAAACTGAGCGCGTGGATCGCGTCGTCGAGGACATCCTTCGCAATGTCTGTGTTGAGACGCCGAGGTGCTGGAGCGCCATGCTGCCACTTGTAGACTTCGCTCTGAACCATGCAGTGCATGCGTCTACCGAATACACGCCATTCTACGTGAACGGGCTTGTTTATCCTCGCGTCCCGCTGACGCCACTATCCCATGGTTTAGAGCTTGGTGGTGGAGTAATAGCCAAGCGACTAGCTGATGTCAGCCCTCTCTCTGTTCGTAAAGAAGTCGATGACTTCCTATCTACCAGACTGAGTGTCTTACGACACGTTCGCGATGCGATGGCTAAAAGCCAAGACATGCAGAAATAATATGCAAACGCAAGAAGCAGAAGAAATGTAGAAAACTTCTAATCGGAGACCTGGTTGAATTAAATGTTTAAAAGTCTATGCTGTCTTTAAGGCAAAGCACCATCCACAATTTATTAGACCGTTTTAAGTGGTGGCTAATCGAGGCCTTGCGTATACTAAACCTTCCGAGAAGGATGCGACCCACCCGGTGTTTTGTGTGGGCTTGCTTGAGCCGTCCCGGGATCCGGCGCATGTTAACGCGTTAGCGTCGGCGCCGGGGCGGCACCCAAGAAGCTCGGCCGCCCAGAAGCCGAACCAGCAACTGGTTCTGAGCACGGAGTGCAACGATTTTCGTTTCCTGACGAATACGTCTGCTCGACGGCTAGGAGCCGCTCTGACTGAGCGCGATAACCCTCAACGTGAGACGTTCGGTGCACAAAGCGCTCCAGGCTCTTAAGGGGCTTCCACACAGCGGCATGCGACCTCGGAAAGATGCTCAGTGGAGTGCCGATGACGACAGACTTTACCCTTAATAGCTCAAAGAGCATCGCGAGTCACTCGATTACGATTGACCAAGTCGTCATCGTCCGCCGTCGACTTTACTCAACGTAAACGGTGCCATCCACTATCACGTGGAACTTCTTGTGTGTCGACGTTGTCGACTGGGCCGAGAAATCGTGGGAGTTTGAGATGTCACTTCGGCAAGACTGCCCGGACGTCGTGGACGCTTATGATCAGAAGGATCATGACATTTTGCGCCGTCGTGCGCCCCGTGATTCTCGGCGGTAGCCTTGGAAGCCGGAGGGCCACTAGCTGATCTCAAAGCTATAGCCCTGAGCTGCTGTGGTCGTAGACTTACCTGTGTGAGAAACCACAGAGCTCGTAATGGATGATTTCATGTGTCGCAGGACGACAACACGCGGGAAGTCGGTGTTGCGCCTTGAGTTTGGCAAACTCAACTCTAAGATGGCGCTCTACGCGCAAGTCGACTTCCTTGTGGCTTCGCTTTAAGGTAGACAGCGGGAAAAGGTTCCGGTGTCGGTGCACCCAGTACACCCATCGCTCAAAGTGCTCTTTATCATCTGCAGCAAATATGCCAGAGGCGAGCACCACAGGAATAGTTCGCAGTGCGGGTACAGGAGCGCCTCCTTTTGAAGCTCGAAGTCAAGCGTGGTACCGATCCATTGGATATCTTGTGGTACTAAAGAGCGAACTCGGAGAGCTTTCCGGTGATCAAGTTCAGCTTTTGTAGTGGCCGGGGCCCCGACTACGTAGACGCCTAATAATCGAGTTTTCGAGTCTTTTGCTTCAAAAGTGGGATCCGCCGAGCGGAAGCCGTACTCCACACGAGGGTGTAGGTCGAACGTGGATACGAGCGCATGAGGGCCTTTCTGTGGGCACCTCCAATTGCTGCTACTGTACATTGTCGAGGCTATAGGTAACAATACCACTTCCACCGGAATTCGAGAGATCGGGGAACGGTTACGGTGTTCGCAAGGTTCGATTTGGGTTCACGTCGCGACATTGGCGCACCTCAATCTCCTCGTCTTCCAATGCGAGGTTAGGAGTATCCCTCTCGTAGTCGACTTCCTCCAACTTCTCGACGAGGAACGTGATATAACCTGTGCAAAAGAAGAAGGGCCTTTGCCCGCGGAAGCCCTCGGAACCAGCTAGACTGGGTGCTTTGCGTGTCATCGACACAGGGCTCATAGGCGAAGAATGTTTATGAACGTAACGGTGTCTAAAAAACGCGAGCCTTGCATGAGGCGACAGTTAAATGTGAATGGTGGATATCTACTATTCTAATGGGGGAGTTCAACAAGGTTACACGTACTCTTGTATGAAAGGGCGGGTCGCACAAGTTGGTGTGACCGTACATAGGTGCGGATTACACAAGTTGGTTTAAACACACAGAGGTGTGGCTATAACGATTTGCTATGGCTGCCATCTCTCCCTTACTCCGCACCAAGAAGCCACTTCGTGGTAGAACTGCCAGTTGTAGTGCATATTAATTAGGTTATATCATATTTATTAGGTATTTCTATATTAATGAAGAGAACGTAAGATTTTAATTATTAGCGGCTATGCCGCAACTGCAACAATAAATACAGTTTTGATTTTAAGCGGAAGAGCATCTTTACCTTGGCTAATGTTTTAAGTACTGTTGGAGGTAGCCGATTGCGATCCGCCACACTCGTACTGGCTCTTGTAAAGAACGTAAGATTGGTGACCTTAGCTCAGATTTTTCTCAGTACAGGGCAACGGCAGCCTCGCTGAACAAGTCATCTAAATTGTCCAACCAAAATCTAGCAAAATTGAAAATAATAATGCCGTCAAATTAAGCCTCGTGATCTGTGCGCCGACAGCAAAATGACGCTCAACATCACTATGTCAACAGCTAACCCTCGAATAAAAATTGGCCTACATCTGACAGCCGGTACAGACGTCGTGCAGACCACCATATAAAAGTGATTATCCGAAAATGATCCTGATTATAAATACCGACAAATAATTCTTGCACTAAGTTGACCGTTAGACCAAGTGATGCATCGATCACCTATCGACATTATGTCTACGCTACGGTGCATGTGAGTCCAAGATTCCTTATAATGTCTTGTGCACCGCTACTTACGAATTATTGCATATATATGTTGCAATATTGAACGAGGTAGAAACTACCGCATTCTATACGTTCGGCTCAGTTAGTGTTATGGGGTTATACGTACCGTTGTATGAAAGGGTGGGCCACACAAGATGGTGCCACTGCGCATAGGTGTTGATTACACAAGTTGGTGTGGCCACACCGTAACAAGAAGAGACTACGTGGCAGGACTGCCAGTAGTTATGCTTATTGATAAGGTTTTGCTATAGTTATTAGGTATTACTATATTAATTCGTAAACACTCGTACTGTTTCTTGTAAAGAAGGTTATGTCGGTGGCCTTAGCTTAGCTTCTTCTAAGCTAAGACTTACTGCATTCCGCTACAATAAGCCGCTGTAGCTGGTAATGCAGACGCCGAATATGCAGCAAGATAATTTCATAATCTGCCCATCCGCCGGCATAACACGGTCTTCAAGACCTCATAATTTGCTAGGTGTATACAGTTTTTCGACCTAAACTTTTTAATTTTGGTTATAGAATCCACAGTCACATTTTTTCCTTGAGATAATGTGACAAACAAAGCTTTCCCAAAGATCACTACAACATATTTATTGTATTTATAGCGGTTTAGAAGCCCCCACATTCGTTTGCACATGAAACTATGCGATTAAGGCTTGCTTTTTTATCTCTTAAAATACTACGAAACTAATCTGAGACATCGATACTAATTTTACATTTCGGAACAAATATTTCGCACAGGTAGTCACGAAGATGAGAAATAATGGTCACAAGAAACCAGCTATCCTGCTTGCCAAGCGAAGTCGTTTGTTTTGTCAGAAGAAAAGTATGATAAAGTCATCTACAGAAAAAAGATCTCCACTTATATGTAATGGTGCATAACTGGTCAACAACAATTTATTTATTGATCAAGTTCGGAAGCGTGTCATCTGTTTTATGAATAATACGTTTGTAGGATGGTTTGCGATTATGTATCAAGCATAAAGTTTGTGTTCATGTCTGTTGAGCTTTACTCATCACATTGATAGATCTGTCCTCTGAAGAAGCTTCTTATAATCGTTGCGCTTGGGCTCGGAACATCCAAAAGCGGCCCACAAAACCGGTAGAAACGCCATTGCCAGTCGCTCGAAGATTCAGGACATCTACATATGATAAAATATAGAAGCACATTTTTTCCGACAAATTCTAATTTAGCAGTAGGATAATAATGTGGTCCACATTTTTTAAAAATACACGTTATAAACTATAAATAGGTGGGTGGCGGCAGTCTCACCACCAATCGCCAACATCAAAACCTTCACCATCATTGGAATTCTCTTCAAGAAAGGAAAGGAAGAAGCATGAGGTGAGCTGCAATGTCGTTCGTTCTTACTGTTGCCTGGCAACCACGCCATCTAGCACAGTCAATATTTGTGAAACTGCTTTGACAAATAGTTTATGAACTCTTGATTCCTATAGCAACAATCACATCGAAAGCGCTACCACGATGAACCTGTCCCTTCGCCTGCGCGGTGGTGGCAAGGTTCACGGATCATTAGCACGTGCTGGTAAGGTGAAGGGGCAGACTCCTAAGGTTCCCAAGCAGGAAGACTCGAAGAAGGCGCTTACTGGTCGCGCTAAGAAGCGCTGGCAGTACAATCGTCGTTTCGTGAACGTCGTGGCGGGCATGGGTGGCAAGAAGTTGGGTCCGAACTCTAACGCTGCGAAGCAGTAAGCATATCACTGTAAACCTGGCCACAATTTAATGGAGCGTGCAAGCTTAAGAGCGGTTCGATTTTTCGTGCGCGGCGACGTTAGGTGCTCTCTTTGCATGATTGTGGCCTCGGCTTCTAGGGTTTATGATGGTTTTATTCATTAGCGCCTAGCTAAATATGGTTATCGACGTATTTAGAGGTTCTGCTTCCAGCATTTTCATTCAAAATCCATTTCTGTAAAATCGCTTCTTTTGTCTTAGCAGTCTGTAATATCTGTCCATTTATTCGAAACGGCACCAATAAATGCGATGATGTATCATCAGCTAAAAGCAGATTTATAATGGTAACTCGAACGAATTCAGGAGTAGCTAATGTACAGCGATGACTCAGCTGCATCCGAAGTGGAATCTGATGTCGACGAAGTCTATGGTAACGGTGGCAGTGACGGTGGCAGTGACGTTGGCAGTGACGGTGGCAGTGAACGTGTCAGCAAAATTGCCGATAGTGACGACCTCTTCAATAAAGGTACCATGCTGAAGCAGCAACGAAACGAAAACGGCAAATTTGCGGCCTCGAATTCCTTTGAATATGTTGAGAATGACTACAGTGGTGACAGCTTTGATGATGACGTCGAAGAGTACAAAGAAGTGTGTTCCTATCAACCATCTGTAACTCAACCAACCTTAGTTCCGAAGGCACCATCATCACCGGCCCGGCCAGGTAATAGCGATTCTCGTCGCTTTGCAATTTCGTCTACCGAGCCGTTAGGAGATAAATACGTACATGGAAGAGCCTCGATCGAGACAGACGATCAGAACTCGCAAAATCACCGCTTATGCCGAGCACAGCCATTCAAAAGCAACGAGCTAACAGGGACGCATGCGGTGCGTCTTTCAAATATTTACATATCTTTGCCAAGTGCTCTTAAATCTAATGTTGCAGGTGCTTGCTTTGGTTGCAAAAGAAGGAGCTGAAGGTATCACTACGTTGCGAAGTGAGCTTTTTTCGCAGCTGTCGCGTATGCCGGAAAGCAAGTTTGTTGATGAGATTGATGAGTTACGTAAGAAAAATACTTTGCTTTTGCAAAATGAGCGCGAGCTGAAGGCGATGTTGCGTCAAGCAAAGGAAGACGTTGTTGTGCGCAAAGCACGCATGAAGAAGAAGCGCCGACGTGCTACTGAAAGACGGCGTGAACACGAAAAAGCGAAAGAGCGTGTGCAGCAAGAACTCGCGACTGCTTTATTATCTAACGTCGAGCATGATCGTCGCATCGAAGGGTTACAGAGAAGACTTAACGAAATGCAAGTGTTGTATGCTAATGTAGATCAGCAAAAGGAAAGGGCAGAAGAGCGCACTATTTTTTTAGCAGAAAAGCTTCAGACAGCACTCGGAGATCTTCACCAGCTCACAAGCAGCTTTGAAAATGCAGTTAACGCTAAGTTGGCGTGTGACCAGCATCTTGAGCAGCTCAAGGCGATGCATCGAATAAAACTTGAAGTAATAAAACACAAATGCAAGATTGATACGGAGACAGCGCGTCAAGCACTGGTCGAGGAGGCTGAAGCTCGCAGAATCGAGCGGCAAACCTTGCCGGAATTTCATCAGCGAGCGGTCGAAGCAGAGAAAGAGCGATTTCATAGGCTGGAGGCTATATTTAACAAACAGATAAACGAACTGGAGTCTCGTGCAGCTCAAGATATCTTGATACACACTGCAGAGCTCGCAAGGGCTAACGAAGCTAAACACCTGGCTGAACAGCGAGCAGAGCGCCGCATACACGACGAAGTTGACCGGGTATCTGTTGCATTGTCGTCAGCTGACCAGTACTTTACCTCATTGACAAACTGATAACTTTTTCTTTAGATCGCACGCGAGCGTGAAGCCGTGGATGAGCAACGACGCGAGCTACTTGCATCATTGGTCCGTACAAATGCGCGCTTTGATGAAGAACGTGGCAAAATGGAGGCTCGAAGTTGCGAGTTAGACGCTCGACAGTCTAAGCTTGCAGATGAATGTGCTGAGCTCAAATCTCGTACAAAGTACATAGAACAACGCTCACGGCATCTTGAGGAGAGCGAAGTGCTCGTTGAGAGACGCCGCACGGAGCTGGCCGCAGTCGGGCGAGAAACACTGGAGCGGTCGTACGCGCTGGCCAGGCGCGGTCAAGAATTTGCAGATGCTATTGCGGAACGTGATAAATTACGCTGCGCCGTAAAAGATTTGACAGCTCGTTTGGAACAGAGCGAGCTGCGCGCAATGACGCTGGAGCAAAACCGCGAGAAATTGGAGACGGCGGCTTATGCACTTGAGCAGGAGCGGCTGATCGTGGCACAACAACGTGTCCAGTCGCGCTACCTTCTAGATAGCGCGCGCAAGTTGGAGAGCATGTATCAACATAAGCACGTCGCTGTGGGCGGCATGGGCAAGCGATGTTTGGTGCCTTCAAAGGCGAACTTTAACCAGCAAGAGCACTATCGGTGACAGTTTACATGTTTATCTTGTATTTCATTCAAAATTTATATTTATACATTCAGCCAATGATACGTCAACGCAGCCATTATTGAAGAAGACCTCGACTTCGCTCATAGGCCACGATACTTGAGTAGCAGATACATGATGTTATTCTTGAGCGTTACCCTAGGTTGTTGCTTGTGCATTTGCTGCATTTGCTGCTGCTGCTTTGCCGGCCTTTTTGACGAAGGAAAAGTGTCCCCGCTGCCAGTACCTACTAGGCGGACGGCCTCGAGAAATTATCCACCGAATCGCCGCGAACGCGGGATATAATTCCACTCAAGAATGGACGGAAGCCGCTGATTGAAGGGGATCCGTTTCCCCTTGGGACGAAAGATGTGCTAAAGTCCTCCTTATTTATGCCTGTGCATAAATTGGTTGAAGCACAACTGGAATGCTCGAAGTGACTTTCCGAGATACGCTCCACAGTTGGCAACTGTTGCACTAATGAGCGCTGCTGTTCTTGCTGGAAGCCGCGCGCTGAGGGCTCCGCAGATTTCGCTCCTATCATTTCCTGGTCATCCGACTCCATGTCAACGTCTGCAGTCTCCTCCGTCTCCAGCCGCTGTATCTTGGCAGGCGGCCAGACAACAGTGGGGTCTTCAGGCCTCTCACGTGTTTCCACTATTGCTGAGATTTCATGCACCGAATCACGCAAGTATCCGATGTCAACGGGATTCTGCTTGAAGCTTGATAGGCGCTGTGCTGTGATGGCAGCAGCTGCTACTACAGTTGCTGCTGAATTTGAAGGCCTTGACCCTGCTGAGGGCGTCGTAGCTGTACTGTTTGCTCCAGAATGAGGCGTAGAGCCCCCGGGCCCAAGTGTACTCCGAGGCGTAAGATTGTTTGCGATGTATGATCGTGGCGTGTTACTTTCATTAAAAAAACCCATGATATTACGAGCTCCTCGTGCACGGCTGTGTTTTCGCCCACGGGCATCGTAAGTTGATCGCATTGAAGTTGTGGAACGAATAGAGAGATTCGAGTGAGCTGATGCGTCTGAGTAGGCCGAGGGGGTTCGCGACCCGCCTCCATTCGCCATATATAGATCCATAAGGTTCATCTCATTTTGTGCAATCGTACTGGTTGAAGTAATCGACGACGTTGATATATCCGACATATTTCCATCTTCGTCTTGTCCACTAGCCTTTTGCACACCCATATTGCATACTGAGCAAATACGTACATTCTTAAGAGTTGTACCTGGTACCTCTACAGATTTGAAAACGCTACACTTGCCGCAAATAACCTCACCGCAACTTCGACAGTGGTGACGTGGGCGGAACGTGCCAAAAGCCCGGCTACACACGGCGCAATGCAGCCGCTCGTGGTTTGGCACCCATTGCCTTTTATCAACAAAGGTGCAGGCGATCATTTGCTGTTTGTCTATAATCCGACATATTTGTACGACACTATTCATTAGCTGCGATTCAGCCGTTTTAAAAGCCCATTGTGCAGGAAAATAACCACCGGGGTTAAATCGCCCTACGTGATGCACCCGGACAACATTGGGCTCTGCACGATCCAGACGGTACATGTACCCTGCAAGAATTTTGGCACGAACAAGACCATGCGAATTCTCAAGCGACGGACATTCATTGATCTCAATAGAGTTGAGTACGCGAATATACATCTCGTTACCAAAAGAGTCCACGATCTTGTCTTGTACCTCAAGGCAGCAGTAATCGCGATGAGATACGATAGGGGTCGGAGTTTTGACAGCATACCACTTGATACCTATGTATCTGAAAGGCGTAAGTGGGGTACGCGGGACAATTGTGAGAAGCACCGCAGCGTCCATCACAGCTGGATTAAGCTTCTTCATCAGCCTCTTAAATAGTGCATCCTCATGCGCAGCGTATGCACGACCGACCTGGTCCAGTGAGGCTGAAAGCTGGCCCTTACAGCCCACCTCGGCGATATTAGACTTGTAGGCGTTAGGGCCTCGCATTTGCCCAAAGTTGCGGTAAATAGCAACGCCTTTTTTCTCTCGCATGGGAACCCAGCTATTCTTGTGACAGTCACTCAGCGCAAAAACTTTACGGATGGAGGCCTCAGCATATTCAATGTATTGGCGTCGCATGTCCTCTGACACACGCACATTTGTGTTAAAAAATCCTTTGGGCAGCGGCAGCGATGTTGACATATTTATGGCTATGTGTGTACTGATCAAGATCGTAAAAGTGGAGTGGGCTACGGTGATGACGTTGAAGCGCAAAGATTCGTTCTGTCGCGTGTTGAGATGTCGTCGTCTGGGGTCGCAAGGCGTAGCTTACGTCGATCTTGTAGCTGCGGTGGCTGCAAAGAAACAGACGGCAGTTGAGATGGAGGAGGTAAAGTGGCCATTTCAGCGTGGCTTCAGAATTGTAGCCAATCATAATTGCCGTTCTTGTGGGCGCCTTTCTAACTTTTGACTGACTATTTGCAGGACCAAACTCACACATGCATGGTTAGGCATCACCTGCTTAGTTATCGCTTATATTACCCTATCGTAATCGAGACATTAAGATGGCGTTCGACTTCCTTCTATCCCATTTTCGTGGCATGTTGTGCGCTCAAAGGTGCGTGGTATGTGTATAAAAAATAAGATGGCAAAGGTCGCACATTGAAAGAAGAAAATGAAACGATTTTAACATTCTATCATCCTTCTCACAGCGAATGCCTAAAAATTTTATTTTAAAGCTTCATGTTCAAGATTTGTCGAAGATTATTTTTTAAAATGTTGACCATTCAGCTGATGTGGGAGGACAAACAAACAAAATGATATACACAATGATGGAAACATTCCTCTAAAAAGCAAAATCGGAGCGTCACCAAATCCAAATGACAGGTACTGGGGTCTTGTTCAAGCATCAGACAAAGAAGTCTGTTCATTCGGGCCACCACAGCACACATACTATTGAGTCAATCATACCAGTTCGGGTGTCATAATTATTGTATCAGACAAACTCCGCCCGGCTTGCGCATTCCGTGTCACTCGCACCATTAATCTATAATCACATTATAAAAAACGAGACCTTGAACAAAACATTACAAAAATTTTACGCAATAACCACGGGCTATTTTCTGATTAACGAAGTCTGCCATTCTAAAACATCGTTTGTTTAGTAGGTATCAATTTTCTGCATATTATGCCTATGTTGTATTGGTTAGGATATGAAGCCGCGGTAGTAACGTGATAGCGACATGAATTTACAATGGCTAGCCGATGCAGATTTATCCACTGAGGAGGGAGAAATTGGCGCAAAATTTGGTGTATTAAGTTGCGGCAACATAATTTTTGCATAATTGTTCAGCTTTGGTAAAATTTGATATGCAAGTAACAGAAAACATTCATATACGTATGTTACGTGCTCGAGAGGCAAGGTTCATTATGCGAGTGCAGTCCCTCATACGTTCGTCTTACTTTAATATCTACTTTGATGCAGGGTAGCAGGCTTTTAGTCTAAATTTTTGGATAGACGTCAGAAATGAATCGAGAGTATACAGAGTGAGAAATAAAATATGTTTTGCCTTTTGTCTCTTAAATAGTTAAAATACACTCAATGCTGCAATCACTTAATCTTTGCATAACACCTATGCCATTTATTCTTTCTTATACAGAAGAAAATCATGTTGGCGAAATAATTAGAGATTATGTGCCCTGCACGTCGTAGTTCGATATTTAAGTCACAGTGATTTCAACGCATTTATGATAATAGTCCGGGCCCCTTAGGCTAGACAAAACGTAGCAGTAAGGCTGGAACTGATAGTATGCAGTGTGGTTGCGCGGTTCGTTGTTTACGTTTGTCGTTAGAAGCAGCTCCTTGTATGTAACAATTTTCACCGCCGTGGCGGTTTGTAGCAAGTTAGCATAACTGATAATTGTACCAATTGTTTTGGCCAATGATATAGCTGCATTTGCAGAATAGATATCACATTTCGGCCAGTGATATGGCTTGCATGCAGTCCTCGGCCAATGAAAAACCGCATGTATGTAATGCTTAGTAGAAGTGTACAAATGTAGTATGAGCTTACGAATTCTTTACAGTAGGTCTAATTCCACATGAATGTATTTTGGGCCAGTCAACAGCCCAGTTTTGTCCCAGAACCTTTGACAAGTCAAATGGACGGACACCTCGAATCTGATTGATGAATGAGACTAGCCGAATGCCGCCCGGGTTGCGAGCGGTAATCGCTGGTAAGATCTCAAACTGCGTCATGTTCCAGCTCCGTCTCCTACAGTCTTGTTTGTCTTGACTAAAGTTTTTGTTCTTTAATCATACATAGCTCAAAACTCGTCCACTGAATTTGTATAAAATTTGCTCACGTCATTCTACCTAATTGTCTCAGCTTCGCTTACAATACAAATATATATTTGGCTTCAACATAATGTACATTTAACATGCCGTACTTGTAAACTTGTACAGCCTAACAGCCTCTACAATCGCTGTAATCAGTGTTTTCTACCCTTTAAATGTGATATTAGATCATACTTTGTAATAATAGTCAATGTTTGGTGCCCCAGCGGCGCGTCATGAGTCCTGCTTGAACCTTGCAGACGCCATTTTCGTTCCCCGAACTGTCGACTTCCGCTGAAAGGGGTATCATTACCAATCGCCTCGACGAAGCACAGAAGCAGTAGTGGGATGCTGTCCACAGCGCGGCTCTCATGCGCGCGCATCAACGGTCGGACCTTACCGCTCATGCGGGATACGGTATCCGATCGATGGATCCTGCTGCGACGCGATCACTCGACCGTTAGGCGTTTCCGTGGTCGGGCCATCCCAGTCGAGCTTGACGAACTCAAAGCTCTCTGAACTCGATTCTTGGTGTCGCAAGAAATCTCGATGGATACGTACCGAGCTCGGCTTCGCGCTCAAAAAGGAGGCGATCGTGTAATCCCTATACGGACGACCCCCGTGGTAGTTGCCCCTGCTCTTTGAGTGATGGATGCGGCGGCACAGGAAACTCGCTGTCCAACTTACAGCGGAGCCACAGGGAGGTGGATGCACGCTTGCAACGCCACCTTCAATTTGAGTTTGCCAAACTGAAGGCACAACGCCGACTTTCTTCGTATTGTCGTCTTGCGACGTATGGATCAATCCATCACGCTTCCTCGAGCTCTGTGGTCTCTTACACGGATGAATTCTCGACCACAGTAGCTCAGGCCAAAACTTGAGCGCAGCTCATGGTCCTTCGGCGTCCTTGGCTATTGCTGAGAAGCGTGGAGCGTACGACGATGTGGAACGTCATGATCCCTTTAATCATAAGCGTCCTCGACGTCTGGACAGCCTTGCCGAAGTGACACTTCAAACTCCCACGAGTTCTCAAAGTCGGGGGTGTCTCCGCCACTTTAGAAGATACTAAGTTTGACCCAGGCGACGACGTCAACCCACAAGACGTTCCATGTCGGTGGCGGACGATGACGACTGGGTTGATCACCGTCTGGTGACTCGCGATGCTTCTCGAGCTCTTGAGGACAAGGCCCGTCGCGATCGGGACTCCGCTGAGCGTCATGCTGGGGTCCGATGCCGCTGCGCGGAAGGCCTGGAGAGCATGGAGCACGTTTGCAACCGGCTGCCTTACATTGAGGACTATTGCGTTCTGTCGAAGCAGCTCTTATTTGTTGAGAAGACGAATGCATCGCTTCATGCGAAGGTGGAGCGCTTGGCGCCGTTGGAGATGAAGATCGTTGCACTCCATGCTCAGCACCAGTTACTGGTTCAGCTTCTGGGTAGTCGAGCGCCTGTGGGCGCCGTTCCGGCGCCAACGCTCCCGCGTTCACTCGCACCGGATTTCGGTACGGATTAAGCAAGCCCACATAATACACCGGGTGGGTACGCATCCGTTTTTGAAAGCTTAGCGTATACGCAAGGCCCCGCTTGGCCACAACCTTAAAAGGTCCGATAAACCGTGAGCGGAGCTTCGTCTGAAAGACAGCGAAAATTGCATAGATAGGAAGGTTATTAGCATTTAATAAAAGCAGGTCTTCGACCTCAAAGCTTCTAACATGTCCTCTACATCTTCCGTCTGCATATTCCTTCTGCATGTCTTGGCTTTCAACTATCGCACAGCGAACGTGTCGTAAGACACTCAGTCTGATAGATAGGAAGTCATCGACTTCTTTACGAACAGTGTGGGGGCTGACATCAGCTAGTCGCTCGGCTGTTCCTCCTCCACCAAGCCCTGAGCCATGAAATGGCGGCGTCAGCGGGACGCGAGGATGAACAAGCCCATTCATGTAAAGTAGTGTGTGGCAGGTAGACGCATGCACCGCATCGATCAGAGCGAACTCTACAAGTGGTAGCATGGCGCTCCAGCACCTTGGCGTCTCAGCGCTGACATTGCGAAGGACACCCTCGACGGCGCAATTCACGCGCTGGATTTGACCAATGGTCTGCCGATGGTCCGTTGTTGACATAGTCAACTTGGTGTCCAGCACCTTGAAGATCGTTGACCAAAACTTCCCAATGAAGCTTGGGTCTCTTTCGAGTACAATTGACTCAGGGAGCCCGTGTTGTCGAATGACACGATCCACAAACAGTGTCGCTGTATCGACACCGTCGATGGTGTCCGACACCACCGCAAGATGAATCATCTTGCTCAGACGGTCGATGAAGAACCACCACATCCGTGTTGCCCGCCAAGCTCTTCGGCAGGCCAAACACAAAGTTTATACTCATGGACTGCCAACTCCTAAATGGTACCGGCAAACTGGCCAGAGGCGCCAATGCATTCTGAGAGGATTTAGCCCTTTCACACGTCCCACACGTGAGCACATATATGCTCGTCATTTGTACAGCTTGGTTCATCAGTAGTGGCAACTCACAGAGCTGTACGTTTTCTCACGCCCAAGATGACCACCGAATTGGGTGTCGTGGGCCTCATAGAGAATACGGTACCTCAGATCCTCATCGTGGAGAACCACGATTCGTCGCGAATCTGTCAAGCTGGTGATATATTACAGCAATCCGCTATTCAACGAATATCGGTGCAACCGTGCGCGCAGTTGTGGCGACAACTTATTGTCCGAGTTTCCAAACTCCTTGCTCCCAAGAGCCAGATGCAGCGCTACGCACATATCATTCCCCGCGTACGCGGCTCGGATCAAATCTATAACGGACGACGTCAGTGTCGTGACATGAGCAAGCTCATAATCCGGTCTGCGTGCCAACGCATCAGCCAAAGCATTTTGCTTCTTGGCTTATACTAGACATAAAAGTTATATTCTGCGAAAAAGGAAAGCCACCTGACCATACTCTGCGAGAGGTGAGGCGACTGAGTTGCAGTGCGTAGTGACGCAAGATCTGTGTTGATCACAACTGGCTTTGAGTCAAGCAGGTGCACCCTGAACTTGACAAGTGCATACTTCATCGCAAGTAATTCCTTGTCGTGGA